TTGCGTAACGTGAATAACGTCAGAGAAAGTACAAAATCGAATTCATACAGAAAAATCAATACAAAACAGCAAGGTCACAGGAAATGGCTAAGAAGCAATCAATAAAGTAAGAAAATTAAAAGGCTGTAGGCAGCAAAAACTGGGGAAAAAACATCTAAGTCAAAAAGATGGGGAGGGAAATGTGTAACCAGGGAGCCGCTGTTACCACGGCAGAGTTAGGTTCACCACATGCTCCAGTTGTTTACATAAGTCGGGTTTAAACCGCCGTATGTAGGCTGCCTCCAGGTAGCGTTTTGGGGTTCACGGAATGGTCCTTATCTAATAGATTTTCAGTAATTGGTGGGCGGGAGTTCAGTTTTCTTGTTTCAACAACCAGCTGGGTAATCGCTCCTTGGCTCTGCTGGCCAATTGTCTTTGCGTTCACCCTATGTACTTGCATCCGCAAGTGCATTTAAATTCATAAACACAGTTTGAAGTGACGTGCATCGGCAAGGCATCCTGCGCACGAGAATTTGTAAGAGATGAGTTGAATTGAAAATTATAAGTTCAATGGCATTAAGTAGCCGTCTTTTGATGGTATTGAAAATGTTGTCGCAATTAAAGGGAAAAGATATGAAAACGGGTTTTTTCGGAACTGAATGTTTTGTATTTTCTCTGACGTTATTCACGTTACGCAACAAGAGGAAGCAACTGATGAGCACTCTCGAAAATAGTGGATCTTATAAATTTTGCTGTTTACACGATCTTCAAAATTGCACCAGGAAAAAGAAACTTTAAATTTATGAAACCATACAGGCTTTTTTTCTTCTTATTCCCCCTTATAGGGTTGCTTTGCGGCCCTGGTCGTGGGCCTCATTGTCGGAATCATTCGTTTCGGATGGGAACTAGCACATCCCAAAACACCCTGTAGCCAGGTGTCTACGACTCCTCCACATCCACTTATCCAGGTGCATTTCCTGCATTTCTCCATTCTACTCTTCGCAATCTCTGCTCTCGTTATTGTCTGCGTGTCTCTGATAACTCCGCCCCTGCCTAAACAATACGTAAGTGAGATTCCCGAATCGTCCACTAGCATTCTCGGTTAAGTCGACATTAGGTGGCGTCGCATATGAACAGAGTACTGTATTTATGCAATTATACTACTCATGATGAACGAATAGCCATATATGTTTACTATTTTCCAAGCCAACAATAGCTTTTGTAGTCCTCCTCACTAACCCCTACTCCCAGCATGTTGTACTACCAAAACGGCGGTTGTAGGGTTTTATGGATGGGGAATTAGGACACGCAGTAGTATATACTTTAATAACTGCTATATGACTTTTGATTTTATTGAATTTAGGAGTATTTTTAATTTATATCTGTAGATTTTCCTACTCTGTATTATCCTTTAACGTATTGCGGAAAAACCCGACTATCGAATTGCAGGTTCCTTGAAATTCTCGAACAATAGAAATGGTGGTTAGAAGGTCATCTTCTTCAACTTACCGTTCTGGAGTAAGATTAGTATGGTCAGCGGCGCGAAGCACCGCGCACACCTTCAGTTTACATGCGGAAGAACTTACTCCCAGTGGCCGCTGGGAAACAACTTCGACTACATTTTTTTCACTATACACATACTTCTAAAAATTTCCTTGTTTGCCTATCCTATTTCCCCACCCCCAAAACCCTATAC